TAACATATAAGATCCGCATTATCATTTTTACCTTTTTCTTCTTTTTATTCCTATGTCTTCACAAACAAAAATAGGAATTATTAGTTTTAATTTTATGCGACCTGGGAAAATTTGACGGAAGTTGGGGATATTAAGTCATTAATTGAATCCTGATTTGCTGCTATCGGGGTTTGGTTCAGGACCACATGAAGGAAACAATTATTTAATCGGAGGCAGTGGTGCCTCTATTGACAACCAAGAATCATGTTTATATCCAGTGCAGGCTCTTCCAATTTTCAAGAAAATTGAAGATTTGAGCAACAAAGTGCAGGTACAATAGGAGACATCCTTTAATGTCATTATTGTCTGTAATTAAAAATCAGTAATGTCCGTAATTGGCTTTAATTGTCACTCTGTTTTCAGACTATTAGGATGGAGCATACACTTCTGTGCAATGAAGTGAAGGGGATCAGTGCTGATTGTTTACTTGGCTCTGAAGCTTTCACTACTTTACAGAATCTTAGTATTTGACAAATTCTTCACCACCATACTTTTGAGATTTCTTAATGAGTTTTGACTTGCATTTTTAAACGGCCTTTTCTGTATTGGTCATAATAATAGGCACAGAACATGAACTTTTGAAAAAGAAGTACAATGAGGAGTGTGAACTACTGAAAAGAAAGTATGTTGAAGAATGCTCGGAGAGAAAGAGGGTCTACAATGAAGTGATTGAGCTCAAAGGAAATATTAGGGTCTTCTGTAGGTGTAGGCCACTGAAACAAGATGAGATTGAAAATGGGACTACTTCAGTCATTGATTTCAACTCGTCTCATGACAATGAGCTACAAATCATTTCCTCTGATTGTTCCAGAAAGCAATTCAAGTTTGACCACATATTTAGACCTGAGGACAACCAAGGTAACTTGAGAACTTAGAATTAAGGTGTAGTTTCTATGTAGACTTTTGTTTAATGGTTCTTATACCAATCCAATGTTGATTGTGCAATGCAGAGGCAGTTTTCCTTCAAACTATACCCGTAGTGACTTCTGTATTGGATGGTTACAATGTCTGCATATTTGCCTACGGGCAAACAGGTACTGGCAAGACATATACAATGGAAGGAATGCCAGAAAATAGGGGCGTAAATTACAGGACTTTGGAGGAGCTTTTTAAAGTATGTAATGATAGGAGCAGTATTATGAGATAGAGATTGTTCGTCAGCATGTTAGAGGTTTACAATGAGAAGATAAGAGATCTTCTAGTTGATAATTCCAACCAACCTTCTAAGAAGTAAGTTTTTATTATTCCATACAGAATTGCCTTTCATTGGAGTCCTTTATAAATTAAATCATGAGCTTATGCATCTTAATATTAGGTGTTTGTATAAGATTGTTAATTATTATAAATATAATTCTAGGTCACTTTGTTCATGGAATCCTCATCTTTTAGCAGTATTTGAGTGTGCTCTAAACTTTAAACGTGTTTACACAAGAAACTTAGAACTTGGTAGACAATTGTTATCAGGTGGTGTTGAAAGGACAGTGCATAAATACCACTTTATTAGAAGAGGTTTAATACTCTAGGAATGCAGGTTGGAGATAAAGCAATCGCCTGAGGGTACTCAGGAAGTCCCTGGGCTTGTTGAAGCTCATGTTTCCAGTACAGATGAAGTTTGGGAACTGCTCAAGTCAGGAAGTCGAGTAAGATCTGTTGGATCCACAAATGCTAATGAGCTCAGCAGCCGTTCTCACTGGTATGTTTAAGCATAATCTGCCATCTGCATTACTGTTTCCTTCACCACATTATTTTTTTGAACAGAAAGTTTGTCAGGATAAAGGAATGACTAGTTATCTTTATTTTTTTCCTTTTTAAATATAATTGCAGCTTGTTACGAGTGACCTTTATGGGAGAGAATTTGTTAAATGGTCAGAGAACAAGAAGCCATTTATGGCTGGTTGACTTGGCAGGAAGTGAGCGTGTCGGAAGGATTGAAGTTGAAGGTGAAAGGTTGAAGGAATCCCAATTCATAAACAAATCCTTGTCAGCATTGGGGGATGTTATCTCTGCTCTTGCATCCAAAACATCTCACATTCCATACAGGCATCTCTCTCCCTCTCTGATTTTGTGTGTCTGTCCATGTTTTTTTGTGTTATTCCATTTTTTCTATCTAATCAGCGATTTCTTTTGGACAAACAGGAACTCGAAACTCACTCATATGCTACAGAGTTCTCTTGGTGAGCTACTGAAATACGGCATTTAATCAATGATAAGGAATTGAAATAGAGAGTTAATTTGTGTCATTATTTAACTCAAGGAAATGAATTAGAGATTTTAATAAATAATACCATTTAATTGATTTTAAGGAGACAATTACAAAAGTTGAGATAATTCTTAATTGGTTATTATGATCATGTAACTACAGATTTCTTGGCTGCATAATGTCCATCAATGCAAATCTCATATTCTATTAATACTTTTGCTCTTCATAGCATCTCCATTCATAACGCATAACGGAACTCAAAATGCAGGAGGAGATTGCAAGACTTTGATGTTTGTCCAAATCAGCCCCAGTGCTGCTGACTTAGGAGAAAACCTTTGCTCATTGAATTTTGCAAGTCGTGTCCGAGCAATTGAGAATGGGCCTGCTCGCAAACAGCCAGATCATGCAGACGTTTTCAAGTACAAGCAAATGGTATGCTGGAGCAAGAAATTTATCATGAGAATCTATATGATCGGAAAATGGTGAGTTATTCATGTTTCGCCTTTTTTCCCCTTGTATAAACAGGCAGAAAAAGCCAAGCTCGATGAGAAGGAGACGAAGAAGTTGCAGGATAATATGCAGTCTTTGCAATTGAGGCTTGCTGCCAGAGAACACAATTGCAGGAGTCTTCAGGAGAAGGTACATATAAATTGAAGATATCAAATTATCCAGTAGAATTGCTCAAAAGTAAAATGTGGCGGGCTTCAGACTTGTTGACATGCTTAAACTTGACCACATGTGATGCGACCTTTAATTTGTAACGGGACCATATTTTTTAACTTTTGGGTAAAGGCCTGATAATTTTAAAAAATTTAACAGGTTCGGGATCTTGAGAACCAATTAGCAGAGGAAAGGAAAACAAGATTAAAACAAGAAAATAGAGCTTTGGCCTCTATTTCTACTCAATCCTCCTCCTTGTCATCTCTAAACCAAACACAGAAGATCACAGTAGACAAGAAACCACCTTTGGCTCCTACAAAAATGAGGTTGCCACTTCGAAGAATTACTAATTTTATGCCAGTGGCATCTCCTGCTCCCCCAAACAAAACAAGGAAGTCATTTCTTCCAGTTGTGGATGAGGACAAAGAAAACACTTCAAGGGCATCAGGGACTGCAAACAAGGGAAAGACAACATTGAAAGCAAGACGGGGCTCCATTGCTATAAGAGCAACCCCTTCAGAGACAAGTAAGGTTGTTCAGCCCACACGGAGAGCTTCCATTGCAACCCTCCGCCCTGAATCCAATGCAAACATGAGAACTCCCCTGCAGAGCTCAACTGCTCAGGTAAGGACTGATCGTGTTATGGGCCGACAGTCGTTTGTGTGGGATCCACAAAGAATATGGCGTACATCAAGAGTGTCTTCTCCATTACCACGGAGGGAAATGTCAAGAGTGGCATCAGCAGAAGCAACACCAGTTGGCCCTAGAAGTAGCAAATTTCAGGGCAGTCCTCTGTCACAGCCAGGTTCATGGATACCTAAGCATCCTACAGTCATAGCATTACAAAAGAAACACGTAGTGTGGAGTCCACTCAAGTTGAGAGGCCTGAAAACTAACAGGAAGTCGTTACTGTCCACTTGAAGTGAACAAAATCGAACACTTTTACTTTCTCCTAGATGCCTTTCATTTTTTAACCTGATCAGCGTGTATGCTTCTTGCCTACCTGTACCAGGTTTTTCTGATAGATAATTGTTTCCTATGTTTACCTGAAATGCTATTTTTTAGCATATGTAGTCAATCGTTTTGTTTTCCCCCTGTAATTTTCCCTCGAATACAGTTTCCAAATTCTAAATTTGCCTGTTCTTTGCAATTCATAATGCAGTTTGTTTGAATTTGAAGAGTTACTTTAGATAATTTAATTCATCCCCCATATACCTTATTATGTATACGTTCACTGAGAATTCTTGCATTGTGTACAAATGAAGCGAGTGCATAACATTGTTTGAAGGGTAAAAAGATACAGAAGATCTTAATGGTTTCCCTCCCTGACCAGCCTCTTGCCCCAGCCCTACCCCCGGAGCCCACCATATTGATCTTTCCCCGAAGTCCCTGTTGTTTCCATCTAACTATTCATTTTCAAATATTTATATTGTTTGAGCCACATTATTGAAATGAAAATGCATTTTTGAATAGTACATTGATGGAAAATGTGTGGTTAAAAAAAAAGGAAATGTTTTGAATTTGTGTAACATTATTTTATTAAAAAATGTGTAATTAAAATGATATCAAATCACTGTTGAAAAATGTATTTTTTTCAAATAATGTGGCTCAAACAAGGCCATAAATTTGGAGGAAAACCAGTTGATTATTGAGGTCGTTCCATCATTGTCGCGCCTTGTCATTTTAATAATTTAATTCATTTCATCCCCCATACCTTCTTCTCGTGTAAACAACTGCACGAAGTAGTAATGGATTTCCAGGCTTTTTTCCATGGGCCAACTGTGTGTGAACTCTCATCTATGTGTCCTTTTTGTCCAGTTCTCAAATCCCTTGACTTATGTCACTTTTTATCCATATATTTTATATTTGCTTCTCAAACAATAAGTATCATTTGCTTTTCGTTTGTAAGTAGAGAAATTTTTCTCGCAATTGAAAAACAACATTCTTTTTATTAATCGAAGTGAAATAAGATGACATATAGAGTGAAAATACGTGACTGGCAATACTTGAACAACACGAGAACTTTTTTACCCCATTTTGTACTCAGGATCGGTCAATCAGGGAGCGTATCTTTGTCACAAAGGAGATGGTGAAATCGACATCGAAAAACTGAAGCAAATCTTAGGATAGAGGGGAGAGAAGCAGATCTCGTTTATCAAGCAAAGATTACAATTCACTATAGACATTGAGGAAATTACCTATTGCAGAAAGAATATTTCAATCTTAAAACAGAAGCATAAACACAAACATTCTTTCACATTCTCCTAGACGAGAATCGCATTGGCGTTGAAATTGGACGCTGTTTCAGGCCACTCATTGCCTTCATCGCATCATTCTTTTGTACAGATTTTCTGCTCTTCAACGGCGACACTAACCTGTTTGCAATTCTTGATGGCGAAAATGACCTTCGAAGCTTTGCTGTAGCCGACACCTTCGGTGAATTTTTCCCCATATTTGTTGCTGCTCGTGTAGGAGAAATAGAAAGCCTAATTTTCACTTGAAACTTTGGTGCAGAAGGCGGGGGGGACTTGATCAAAAACTTGTGCGGAACTTGTTTATTACTTGCAATGACTGGTGACTTAGTCTTGCAAAATTTTTGATGCTGCGATGTTGGTGATGAATGAAACAGTGGATTGGGAAATAATACCGTCTTTCTAGCCCATGGTCTATTCCTTGGGGACACTCTATTGGCAATATATCTGCAATTTTCTTTGTCACACTCTCTTGTTTGTGTGGGAGACACCTTGAAGTTTATTCGGGATTTAGCTCGTTGGAGAGATGGCTTATCGGATTCTGATCGTATTGTTTGTAATGCCACTTGTTTTTCTCGCTTTCTTCGTGCTTCGAGTTGGCTGTTTTCTGGGTTTTCCAGCCTTCGGTTTCGTCTCCTTTCTGTGACTGGGGTTTTGGGGTCGTCATTGGCTGGTTTCTTTGTCTTGGAAGATACTGCTTCCACTATATTTCTTGCAAATTCACTTGCTTGTAGAATTTCTCCCATTGTTTCTCCTAAAAGCATTGCTGGCAATGACATTACCCGCCATTCGTCTGGAAAGAATCAGACATAGTGAGTTGAATAAGATAACTTGCTGAATCTTGAAGAGTATTTTAAGAAAATTTTTGTTACACAGTAAAATTTTGAACTTAGCCCACCTGCATTAGCTGGCAATTTTCCCGTGGGAGATCTTCGAGAATTAACATTCTTCATCCTTCAAATTCAAAATAAAGGCATTTAACTAAGAAAATAGCATCATATATGTAAATTGTAAAATTTGATACGTTTGCGGAAAGGAGTCTTCCCAGTCAGGCAAACGATATTTTGAAAAACATAGACAACATTTTAAATTAAAGCACAAGATATTTTGATATTGGTGCTGAATGGTTTTTCAAATCGGTTTTTTTTTTTTTTTCTCCTCTCCATGTATTGGGGGGACAGTCCAAGTCTAATGTTAGAAGCTTTTCGAGGCTTCATCACCAAAGTCTGAATATACTTGCAGACACCTCTTATCAAATATCAACAATTCATCAAATATATACGAGGGAGGCTCTTCTTCTGCAGAGAAGTTCAAGTGGAAAAAGAATCACTGCATTTATTTTCAAAATAAAAATAATACCAAATGTACCTAGAAAAGCAAAATATTACTAGGAAAGTCATAGTCAACTTTCTAGAGCCAGGTTTAGTAATGTGCGCAGTAATAACAAAGTTCATGATGTACAACTCGTTGGATTCATCCTATTGGTTTGGCTTATACGAAATAAGCCTCTTCCAAATAAATGTAAGAATCTGCATGTTAAGACATTTATAATTCCCTAATATAAATGAAATAAAATATTTGCTCCTGGAAGAAAGATTAATTACCTGATGGACCCTCTGGTACTGCGAGGACTAAGAGATATCATTTTCGTCCCAACTTTAACTGTGTGCTGCAGCTCTTGTAATCGAGCCATACATTTCTCCACCTGATCGGCCATTCAATTTTTTAATATTCAAACACCAATTTGGATAGAAAGAATCAATTCCCTACTTTTAAGTAGAAATCAGTAAGAAGTCTCGCGGTGGTAATAAGGCATGCTTGCAAAATACAGTAAGAGGAGATAATTTCTAATTTCAAAACAAACACATCATACAACACTGGAAAAGTTTTTCAAATTCAAACGTTCTATGAGAGAAACAAAATCATACTAATTTCAATTCCGAGACCCTAATTTTCGACTTCCAAGTAGAAATTTAAGTCCTTGGAAATCTCCAATAACTCATTGAATAGGAAAAACATCAATTTAATTCAGTCATCGAAACAAGAACCTATTCTAGGTTATGGTTGTGGTAATGTACCTTATTAACAGTTTCTCTGAGAAGAATGGGGTTGAGAGAGGGCGGCACCACCACTTTCATCAGCTGCTTTGGTGGGGTTCTTGCAACCATTTTCTGCCCTTTTGCACAACTACAGAAGGAATCGAAATGTAGGTTCTCTCTCTCACACACACACACCCCACACACAAAAGCACAGAAAGAGCAGTTCCTTAAACTGAGTTCTTCTAGGAAGTGAAGAAGGTCAACTAGAAAAAGTCATTTTTGTTGTAACGGATAGAAATGTAGTTTCAACGGTCGAATACTTTGCGGAAAAACGTATGTAAAACGGCTAGTTTTCATTACTTCTATTAAAATATATTCCCGATTATTTTATTTGAAAATGTCTACGTTGCATTCCACAGTCTGACTGTGAGTTATTATTGAATATGTACGTTAGTTTTATTATTATTTCATGAATTTTAAAATTTTATATTACTTACTCGAATTAATTAAGCAATTAAAGTTAATTATATCAATGGCCACCAAATTTTGAATCATTCTCTAAAACTCCACAAAAATTTAAACTCATTTTTGTTATATATATAATACCTTCACGTTAACTCACTCATCTGATATTTTAACTAAGAATTATACGTCGTTTATCGTTGTATTAGTTTAGTGAGTTTGCGATAGCGAATCAAACAAAAGGAAAGTTAAATGATTAACACTAAAAAAATAAAATCGAGATTTAGGGGGGATCAGACTTCCACCTTAAATAAATAAATGCCATAATTATTGCAAATAGTCTCTAATGTATGGTCAGAAATGTTCTCCTGCCAATAGTGGGAAGTTTTATCTTGCTTACTCGGATAGAACCATACTTATGATTCTCTTACTACATCAACAAATGAAAAGTCTTATTTTACTGTAGGTAGGAAAACAATTTCGAATGTATGGGCTTTTTACAAATGGTCCCTATTCTTCAAATCTTGACAATGATTCGCTCGTCCAATTCATCTTGTGCTCAAATGGTACTTTTTGAAGGAATTTAAACACTATTACCATTAAAACTGTATGTGTCTTACACGGAATTGGATAAACTAAATTTTTGGGGGTTAAAATTGTCCTATCCACAATGTTTAGCATAATTTATGAGGTAATCAATTATATTACCACCACAAATTTTACTTACTATACCATATTATAATCACACCACAATTAAAACATATTCTCATTAAATACACAACAAATTTACAATTATAGTCTTAATTCAATAAAAATTAAAAGGGTAATAAATACACCATGATAAAGAATTGATTTGTATTTATTATGAATAACATTTTAATTAGAAGGAGAAGAAAAATCTTTAAAAATGTAACCCATTTACAAAAAGGAAAAATAATTTTTTTATTGCTTGTTTTATTTTCAGCAAATATATATTATCTAAACATTTAAGCATTGTACATAAAATATTCAACCAAAACTGCTCCTATATATAAGGAGCAAGATATTGTAATATAGCAAGGGACCTACTATGGTACTAGAGTGAATATGATCTCCAACATCTAATTAAAAATAAAAGTTCGATAGCATGAAGATTCATTGAGTTATATCCTTTTTCTGCCTCTACCGAGAAGTTATGGACTTTTTTTATGCTTCTTCTTCCCTATTGATGGACAAAGATTGAGTTTTCTCTTCCACTCTATTATACATATAGAGCTTCAGCTTTAGAGAATCTCTTTCTCTCTCTCTCTCTCACACACACACACACACACAAAAGAGAAGAGAAAACATAGAGAATTCAATAGACTTGTGTGTATTTTATTAAAAACATAAATCCTGTATTTATAGGGCAGAATCAAGGATACAATAGTAATAATTTCTAGGGCTGCAAGGGTATAATTATCATTCACCTCTAAACTCTAATAAACTTACATTTTACAACACCCTCCTTGAATGACACATTACAAAATATCTGCCTCGTTAAAACCTTGTTTGATAAACATTCAATGGAAAAAAAATCAAACGAAAGAAAAAGAGTACAATTATTTTGAAATACTAAAAATAAATGTTGTCTCATTAAAACCTTGTTAGGAAAACTCAATGGGATAAAACCTGAGCGAAGGAAAAAGAGTACAACTATCCCCTTGATGTTGATCACTAAAGATCTTTGAATCAACGTATTCCAATCTCATAAACTAATTTTTTGAATGTAGATGTTGGTAGTGCTTTTGTGAATAAATCGATCACATTGTCACTTGAGCGAATTTGTTGGATATTGATGTCCCCATTTTTTTAAGCTCATGTGTATGAAAGAATTTTGGAGAAATATGTTTCGTCCTGTTACCTTTGACAGAACCTCCTCTGAGTTGTACAATACAAGCTACATTATCTTCATACGGAATTGTTGGACTATCATTTATTGAAGTTAACCCGTATGATGCTTGGATATAATATAGGTCATGTTTCTCAACCATACACATTATCAGCCAGTTTCATGGATTGCAATAATTTCAAAATGATTTGAAGATGTAACTTTCAAGGATTACTTCATAAATCTCCAACATATAGCTATTCATCTACGTGTGGTTTAGCTTTATGTGGGTTGGATAGATAACCTGCATTTGCATATCCCGACTTTTGAGAATAAAATAATCCAAATCAATAGTACCCTTTACGTAACGAAAAATATGTTTAACACAATTTCAATATCTTTGAGTTGGTGTAGAGCTATATTTTGCAAGGAAATTTACAGAAAAGCTATGTCGGGTCAAGTGCTATCTACAACATAAGTTAATGCTCCAATTGCACTAAACTATGGTATTTCAGGATAAGAACATTTTCTCTATTGTCAAGTGGACGAAATGAATTATTTTTCATATTAAGTGATCGATCAATTATAGGTGATGTCAATGGATGTGCATTATCTATATAAAAACGTTTTAAAACTTTTTCTATATATGTAGATTGGTGAATAAATAATCCATCTGCGAAATGTTCAATCTATAATTCGAGACAAAATTTGATTTTTCTCAAATCCTTCATCTTAAATTTATTTTTCAAATAATCAGTAGTTTTGTTGAGCTCTTTAAGGATTTCAATTAAATTTAAATCATCAATATAAAATGTCACAATTGCAAATTCAATATATGTTTTCTTTATGAAAGCACATGAATAGAGATCGTTATTATTATAACCCTCCTTTAACAATTATTCCCTAAGGCGATTATACCACAAGCGTTCGGATTGTTTTAATTCATATAATGATTTTTGCAATTTAATTGAAAACATAGTTCTCGGACATGTATCGTTTGTTTCTAGTACTTTAAGAATCTAAAAGTGATGTGTCCATTACGGAAGAATATCAATTCCTGGTCTTTGTAAAAAACCTTAAGCTACTCGTTGGGTATTGTATCTTGTAATTTCCTTATTTTTATTTCTCTTTCGTACAAAAATTCATTTGTGTCCAACAGGAATTACATTTTCAAGTGTTCGAATTACAGGTCCAAACACTTTTTGTTTCTCTAAAGAATTCAATTTCGCCAATATGGCTTCTTTCCATTTGGCCAATTATTTCTATTTTGACAGTTTTTAATTAATTGTGGTTTAGGATCTTTATTTTGCATAATATCAAGAGTCATATTAAAGGCAAAATATTGTCTATAACAATATTATCTCGTTTCTATAATTTATGAGATAACATATAATTTATTGAAATCTCATTATTTTTTAACACTTGTGGTTCTTCAGGAACCTTATCTTAAATAATTGATTAATCAATATTTTCTAATGTTACTTCTCTAAAATTTTTCGTTGGTTTTTCTCCTGTGTCTTTCTTTTTTGAGGTACAGAGTCTTTTGAACCAACTAATCGACCACGCTTTTGGTGTATTTTAGATTTATTTACTACAGTTTTTTTGCTGAAATATTTTCAGATGTAATATATGATTTTGTTACTTTTCATACGTCAATAAATGTATCAGGTAATTGCTTTGCAACTCTTTACAAATGAATAATATTTTCAACCTCTTGCTCACATTGTTTGATGCGGGGATCAAAGTGAGATAGAGTTGTTTCATTCTAAGTAATTTTACCTTATTTTTTAGGAAGTAATTTTTTCCCTCCCAAAGTTGGGAAAATCATTTCATCAAAATGAAAATATGCAAAACGAGCAGTAAATAAATCACCAAATAAAGGTTCCAGATACCAAATAATTGATAGTGAATCAAAACTCACATAAATTTCAAGTCTTCATTAGAGACACATTTTAGTACGTTATGGAAGTGAAATAGGGACTTGGACTGCACAACCAAAAACCTGTTGATGAGAAATATCAAGTTTGTGACCAAATGATAGTTGCAAAAGTGAATGTTGATAATAGACAGTTGGTCTAATACGAACCAATGTTACAGTATGTAAGATGACATGATCCCAAACAGAAACTGGGAGTTTTGTTTTCATAAATAATGGTTTAGTAATAAGTTGTAGATATTTAATAAACAACTCCATTAAATCATTTTGTGTATGGATATGCGCAACTGAATTCTCAATTACAATCCCAATTGACATACAATAATCATCGAATGCTTATGATTTAAATTCTCCAGCATTGTTAAGGCGGATAGTTTTAATTGAATGATCGGGAAATTGCACTCGTAATTTCATAATTTGAGCAAGTAGTCTAGTAAAGGCTACATTCCTAGTGCAAAGTAGGCAAACATATGACCATTTACTAGAAAAATCAATTAATATCATAAAATAACGAAATGATCCACATGGTGGGTATATTGGCCCACATAAATCTCCATGAATTCTTTATAAGAAAGTTGAAAATTCAATATTGACCTTTGTAGTCGAAGGTCTAATGACTAACTTGCCTTGCAAACAAGTTACACATGGACAATCATTTGGTAAAAAATCTTCTGGCTCTTTAAAGGATGTTTATGTAAGTTGTTTATTATTCGACGCATCATTATAGCTTTTGAATGTCCAAGTCGATAATGCTAAAGTATAAATCTTTTTGGGTTAACGAACTTCTGGTTCTTGATATTATTTGATTCAACCATTTTTATAAATGTATAATATATTAGGAGTGCATGAAATTTTTCTTTTATCTACTTCTGACAAGATGCAAAAGAAGTTATGCAAATATATTCGACATTATTTTCTTGTGTCATCTCATATGATATTCATTGCAATGGATATCTTTAAAACTAACCAATTTATTCTAGATTTGTTAGAA